TATTCGCAATCAAAATATATCTATGCATGGATTCGACATGAAATAGGGCTTTAGAAAAGCATGAAAGAATAATAGAAGGGAAAAGTGTACGAAAGAGAAATAAGAAAAACTCTTGAAAATTTGACCTAGAGTATTCAGAGGAAAGTCGCAAATGAAGTTTCTCGCAATGCTAGCTAGACACCAGGCGGAAAACCGCAGTAAAGGTGAATCAAACACCGCCTCCTGTAAACGGCTGTGCCGAGAGACGGAGTGGGGAATAGCTCTTTGTCTCGATCCTTTGATAACAGTGTAAATGTGTTCATTAAAAGTTACACTGTGAGTACAAGCAATGTACTACTTATCGTGCTGCCATAACTGTCCAGTTTTTTGTAAGAAATATGATAGTCCTTGAGTGGATTCGTGAGAGCAGCTTAAGGTAACATTAAATGACGAAAATTTGATGTTTTAAAGACAGATAACAGTGACTCCTGGAATCCCTGGCGAGCTTGCCTCGGCGGCAACTCGATTGATAACTTCGCAAAGCGAATCTTCTTCGTTTTATTGGATGAACAAATCAGTATTCATGTCAACTTTAAGGGACGAAAGACTAAACAACACCTATCGAAGTCCAAAGGTTACGAGGTCGTATTGGGTACGTCTGTAATTACCTACCTGACTTACTACGTGGAATACGGAGGACAAATCCAAGTTGTCTGACCTCGGCGATGCCCTGGCCAGGCGATTTAAAAGATTTCTAGATACATACAGCCCACGGCTAGCCAAACAAACTAGCTGCCTGGTAAGTCCAATTTAAGCCTCTTGAAGTACTGTTGCTTGTAGAGGACAATGCCGAATTGCCGGACGACCCTCGTCACAATGAACAGTGGTCGGACAAACACAGACAATTATACGTAGTTATTTAATTATTCTGGTAAATTTTCCTAATAATAAAAGATTTTACAGTAAACTTTACTACAAGTGTTTGTGGATAAAAATAAATAAATGGGTCGTTCGTTAAGGAAAGGGATCCAGTACCAAGGTTAAGCCGCTATCCTCACCGACTGCCCAGTATCTCGACCAGTCGATATCTACTAGCTATCTATTTCGCGGACAACATCGACCTCTGCTAAATACATGGATCTACTAGATATATAATAGATGTAGCTTGCTACTCTGGAGGTGTTACTTTAATTCATTATGTATTCCTTCAATAAATTTTATCTATATTCTTCATTTAATTATGCCTTAGGTGCTTAGACATGGGCTTTCACTACTATGATAAAAACTAATAGTTTGGGCATTTCAGTAAAGCGCGCTCTCTTTCTTTGATAAAGTTAGTGTAGCATTATATGAAGAGGATAATGTTGGCTTAATTTCCTACGATAAAACTAGTAAAATAGAATAAACTCGGGGCTGAGAAACTGAAAAATTATAATTCGTGCTTAAAAGATCTAGCCACAAATTTCTTTTTCTGTTTGACTTATTTGGTAAGGATAGCTTATAAGTATCATCATGAGATCACGACACAAAAACCTGTAATACGCAAACGGTAGGAATGTAGAATACATTTCCTTTGCTTGTAGCGATAGCAAATAAAAATAACCATTTAGTCCAGTCTAGATTCTTGACAACTATTGAAAAGCAAAATGAATAAAAAATATCTACATGATAGATATGCAAATACTTAGACACAACGGAAACCTAGTCTTACTAAAGAGACGTTTCATGAGTTGCAACTTCTGTTTGCGGTTTAAATATATTGTTCAATGGATACAGTATGTCTATATATGAAAGCAAAATCTTTTATTTTAACACTCGTCCCTTCAAACATAACTCTGGAGTTATGGCTTCCTTTGGTGATACCCACAAGCTATCCTTACCACTCACCTTATACGTTCAGACGACTAGACCTTCTTCATCACGGACTACATTTTAAAAGCTTTCCTAAATTAATACAGTGCACAGTGTTATGAGCGTTAGAACTTACAAACTCGTCGGCAAGGCGAATAAAGGACTGATGTCAACTTATACATACGGTAGCTTACCATAAAGTAGTACATTGAAGCCTCCTCCACCATGTCCCACGCTGGCTTTTCGCGAAGGAACTCTGAGGAGAATACTGCTGCTGCTCCAAGCGAGGTGACGAGGGATCGGTTCGCACCAGATACCAATACTAGACAGACACCTGTAGGGAGTGTATCCGACACCTCATACACCGTCTGCACTCCAGTCGCTTCCATGTTCTGGAGCAAAATTTCGCCAGACTTGTCGTTCCCTACACAGCCCAAGTAAGAGCAGCTGATCCTTTTTGGGTCTTGGAGGAGCCACTGAATCATTCGCATGGTGTTCTGTGCAGATCCACCGGCCACATAGGTGAGATCAAAATTGGCAAGAAGGTCCTCATAGAGACCCTTTTGTCCAGGTCCTGAGAGTGTGGCGCCATTAGCTTGGACACCGTACTTTTTGAGAAATTTTTCATTCACGTCTGCTTGAATGTCCAGTAAGGGATGTCCGAGGCCCAGGATACAGTATTTCTTGCCATGATATGAGCTTTCCATTCGGAAGCCTAACGCAACCAGCACCACAGGCTTGCTGCCAACAGTTGGAGTCAGTGAGGCTGGATTTTACCAGCCTTTAGTTGTTTTCATTATGACCAATAGTGTGGTGCCTCGTGCAAAGGTCACACAAGTCTGCTTGCTCGACTGGCCCTACCCAGCGCCCTTCTGACCAATCATTGATGCAGACTTTCTATTGGCAGACGCGGACCCTATGAAAAACTAGCCCATTTTGACGGGCGCAAGTACTCCAATCATGCCGTCCTTTTTTGAATTCGCCGATCAATGGCACGTCGCGTGCCCCATCTCAGTCCGTTAGCTTCCATCAGTTTTTTACTTGCGGGTTTCTGTCCAATTTTGTGTTTCTGAACCAGCTGAAAGCCGAGCTGCTAACTCCTCTGCAGTCATGTAAGTCAGACCAGTTGGCACATCCACAGCAAATGAATCATCAAAAGGCGACCTCGCAACTTGTTAACAGATTGTTGTTGTCTGAAACTTGCAGGTTACGGTCACAGTTAGTTTACGAGCGGATACACCTTACTGGCAGCACAACAGCCATTTGGCTGTTCAACAGACACTGCTAGCAGGATTACTTTACTCTGAAGTCTAGCAAAGGCCGAATAGTAGTGACATTTGCTGTTGCCTAAGTACGCTTTCAAATCGCTAGTAGCCATTGTGTGTGTGAGGGCAATATGGATTAGCAGCCAATTTAATACACATATGAAAGCTCGTGAATAATCAACCGAGGATCGCCCCAGCAATTTGGTGAATCACGATAGAAATCACTTGATTTTCGTTCTTTTGCCCTATACTTTCTATGCTTGTATAAATTAAACTAAAATTCCTAAAGTATTTATGAAATGGATTCCTTTAAGTCGTTTGAACGTAGCTGTTGAGAGTATAGAATAGGCTGGAATCGGAATTGTTCACGGGTTCATTTACATCTTGAAAACCTAGCTCCTAAGCGAGTCAAACCAAAAAGGGCAAACGCCCGCTAAAAAAGATATACAAGGCATACTTTTGAAATAGCGCTAGCGGTTCTTCCACAAGTGTACAGGTAAAAGTATTTTCACGTTTCGGAACTGCTGCCCGTTCTCGTGGATAGTTGCATACGGTATGATAAAGCTAAATGAAGGAACATTTCATTCATCTTTGGGACCTGACACTAAAATATTGTACAATTTTGCTTGTATCGATTGAACATCTGTGGTCTGTTATTTTTTGAACCAACAAACAACTTACTAATCACGAATGTTCACTCACATAACTTAGGAACAAGATTTAATTTCTTATTTGTTCTGGAGGTTTATAGGGTTAAAACTGTATTTTTTTCTAAAACAGATTGATATACGAGTGTTCCTTTTGCTACAAGAAACCTTATTGTTGCTTCTCAGACAGTAGACTGATGCGGATCAACTTATAAAATTGAGAACCCGTGGCTTCTTAGACTACAGGAATAATCATGCGACGGTCTGAACATTTTTTGTGAACATATAATAAGTAGAGTAACCTGGTGCTCATCGAAGCATGTAATTTTGCGAAAACGAAATATTAACAGAATCCGGAAGAGCAGTACACTTTTGTGTGTCAGTTCGATTAAACATGATTTAACTTGGACAAAAATCGAACGTTAATTGTTCGCGAGTTTGGTTCCCACAGGCAGCCGCAAAAATTATCAACAAAAAGCCAGCGTGTTTTCACGTACCAATTAATTTCGCCTTAGATTGCATACTGATCCCTACTGCTATTTCCAGTTAATATTAATTGCTTTTTAGAGGTAGAAGAACTTCTGTCAGTGGTTCAACATGTTTAACGCCTACTGCGCATGATGCTAGGCTTGTAAAAAACGAAACAGCGAATTCGTTGGCGGTGCGATCTTCGAGGGAACAAGGGTCGAATCCGTATACTTCACAACTGTGAAAATACCCGGACAAAAAGCTCAGACCTGACAGAAGACAGGGAGGATCTGACTGTCTCCGCGAGATAGCATCGTCCTTAACAGGAGTAGAGGTGGAGGGAGGTGAAGTACAAAGATAAACGCGCGATCACTGGGACAGTACATGCATTTATCTGAACTTTCGGTCTCGCACAGGAGGCCATCATCAGAGCCTACGAGCGTGCGAGACCGAAAGCTCGGACGAATACCCCGTCCCAATGATCGTGCGTGCATCTTCCTTGCAACAAGAAACTATGGTTGGCAGATTCGCCTTCATTTTAAAGTTAGAGTACTTCTAACGTGTTACGTATAACATTTTCCACAAAACCCTTCAATTTAACATGTCGATACCATGTTAAATATCCGCAAACTGAATCGCAGCGGGCATTGCTGATGCTGGCTAAGGAAATGAAAAACTGTATGACAAGGGTGTTAGGGATGTTCGATGTGTAAAGTCCAATCCGAAATAGGGCAACCATGATGTGAAGTAGAAAGAAAAGGCTTTGTACTGGAGTGCTGAGATAAAATTACGTGGAATCGTCATCTTTGGTGGTCTCCCTGTCGACTGCAAGTCTGCGGGTTTACGCACCTGAACTTCTAATTTCGCATCAAGTGTGTCGGTTCCCGTCGCTATGACGAAGATAACCCACGGTCACCTTCTAATGTTTTCTACGGACCAAGGATTGCCGCTCTTATACAACGGGCAACCCAAAGATGCCCGACTAACAGTTGCCCGGAATGGTTCATGCAAGTGGAGGCCAATATTCTTCAATTTTAGGGCCTAGATAACGTCAATTACAACCGATTCATATACAGTCTTATCTTGGCGATGATTGATAAACTTGTAGTGATTGTGACTTGAGCATGAGGTAGGTTGTAGTGATGTCGAATTGCGCGGCATCAGCCTTCCCCCCCCTTCCAAGAACAGCCTTGATACAATGACTGTATGCCGGTATGACTAGCTGCGCGACGGAGTATTCTGCGAAAAACTGCGACTTGAATGCGTCAGGAATGGGCGCACACCACTCCATTAGCTTCACGAAACAAACAACCTCCGTATGGGTGGCGAAGGCCACGGTCAGGCTACCATCTGTTGT